GAGTGTCAGAGTGGAAGGACAGAAAACCGGGGAGTCTGATCCGAGAAAGGAAATGCTTTCATGTCATTGCCCTTAGGTTACATCTGTAGCATTTCCGCAGTGATGCCAAGCTCCCCTTACTTGCCCCTGTCCACATGCACTGCATGCTCAAAAATGCGTCGTGCTCCCCATTAGAGCGATTCAGGGCTGTGCAGCCCACTCCCAAGGCTCCACCTGCGGTACAGCTCTTTGGGCACCTGCCAAAAAGCAAGTATATGTTTTTCAGCATGCAACAGGGCTTGCTTCTTGGCAGGGGTCTCAGTATCGCTACAGGGGCAGTACACATGTGCTCCAAGGTGCCTCTTCCAGGCCTCCTGGTAGCTCTTCAACATCAGCTTCATCCAGGAGGAGTCTCCTAGACATCCAGAAATGGCAAGGATCGATCCTGATGAACCATGAAGAGCAACCCTAAGGCAAAGACTTGGTAAGAAAGCTGTAAGCTTGTTAATGCTAAAAATATGGGGCCAGGCTCTATTCTCCACCAGTCACTTGGTGCAAGAGAATCAAGGATGCTCAGAGAGCTGGCTTCCTGCTTCTCCACCTGAAATGGTTCCTGCCCTGAAACAAGGTAGAGGAGCCAGAGCTGTTCCGATTTATAACTAGCTGCACTGTATGGGACCATATGGCAGCCCCACATTTGTGCAGTGGAACAGATCCCTAACACCCCAGTGTGTCCCCCTAGTTTTCCCGGATGCTCTTGATGCAAGAACAGGTGAACTTCCTTGAACAGGAATTTTAACACAGGAAAATGCAGCATCAGACAGCTGGGTCACACCTGGAGGATGTGGGACTGTGTCCTGGGATTCACTGTCACTGCAGAGGTCCTAGCACCACATTAGGAAACCAGCAGAACAACCCCAGTATGATGCAGGGGACAGGCTCTTGGATGTATAAGCTGGGGCATATCAAGAAGTAGGAAGGGGGTGATACATCAGTATGAAGCATTGTTGTTCCAATGCTGCAGGAATATGACATCTCACCCCAGTGTCCACCCTTCAGAAATGATGTTGGCAAGAAGGATGCTGGAAAGAATTCAGATAAGAGCCATGCAAATGATTCAGTGTCTGGAAACCTGGCCTGACAGCAAAAGATTTAATAAGTTCAGTTTAACTGAGTCTAAAAAGAGAGGAGAGAGAAGTGACTTAGTCGGCACATAGGTGCCTGTACAGTGGGGAGATTTCAGATGACTCTTTAATTTGGCAGACAAAGGCATAATAAGATCCAGTGGTTGGGAGTTGAAGCTAGATGAATTCAAGAGGAAATAAGGCACTTTATATTTTTAGAGTGAAGGTAACTGACCGTTGGAACAATTTACCTAGCGATGCAATTGACTTCTTTTTACCTAGAGTCTTTACATCAAGACGTGTCTTTTAAAAAGTTTTGCTAAAGCTTCACTGCAGGCTGTGGGCAGGAGGCAGTCCATGACCAGATGACTATAAAGGTGCCTCCGGCCATAAAGTTTCTGATAACTCACACACACCTTACACAAGCGATTCGAAAGTGGCACTTGCCTTACCAAAGCAATTAAAAGAGGCTTCAGAGGCACTGGGCAGCTGCAAGCTGCAGAGGAAATGTGGTGGCCTCTGTGGAAACCTGGTTTGATCTAATTAACAAGTGAAACAACAATGGGGCAAACCTGAAAACAAGCCTCAGAGGGCTTTGTGGAACTTTCCATTACCTGCCCTCCCTGACTCCTCCCAAAATAAACACCATGGCATAGGTTGATCCAACGAAGGTTGATCATTAAGAAGAGGCTAAACCATATGTTGTAATAGTTAAAGGTTCAGATCTCTGCCTCCAGTCTGTCTTTGCAGAAGAGATTGTGTTGCTGTTTATTGAAATCAAGGAGTTAGAAAGCTGTGGCAGTCGAGTCATGGCATTCTGAATTGCACTGATTTTTAATCAACCAGTGAGCTCACCATCAACTTTGTGTGTATGCTGGGCACAGTGGGTAGGCTCAGGGCTCAGTTTCGTCTAGCTGGACACAGAGAAAGCAAATACATCACAAAGCCCGTTTGTGCCTTACAGCACAGGCTCAGTGTGACAAGCCTCCGGTTCGTAGGCTCGTGCCACAGTCGCTGTGTTGTGCTCTGCAGCTCTCCTTCGTGGGCAGGGTGCACCTTTCTGTGCGTACAGAACAATCTGTCAGCTCGCAGCGCTGAAGCAAACTGCAGTTTGTGTTTCACTTCATGACACATTTGGGGTTCTTTGGCACTGGGTTTTTAGTGAGACTTTTCCCATGAAAAAATATTTTAGGGGGAAGAGTTGGGGAAATCCCTAAGCCTTGAGGCTGAGCTGACAGTCTGCTGTGGTGCATACCAGCTGCAAAGCTTTCATACAGTGGTGCTTCATTCCTAAACCTGAGGCTGTCCCCCGTGCCTATCTGGCCCATCCCGTGCTTCCAGCATTGTGAAGAGGTTAGGTAATGGATTTGCCACTATACAGTACAACACGGTCACTGGGAGGAAAAGCCACTGGAGAAATCAAGCTGGAACTTGTTGGTGATACATGTCAGCCAGGGAGATGGAGTTGAGAAAGCTGAGCATGAGCCATCAGGGAAAGGAAGCAGCTGCGACACAAAGGAAGTTGTCAGCTTGCAAAGTCAAGCACAGGCTTGCCATGGCACAAGAGGAAACATTCAAAGACCACCAGGACCAAACAGCTGGAGCATTTTACCACCCAGCCCCTCCTCTTCCCCCTTTTACCTGTCTTTCCTGCCCAGCCAGCTGGGCCCAAGAGAAACTACATTGCAGCTTCTCCATGTAATGGTGATGACATGGTAGTTAATCCACAGACACCACACGTCACTTGGTCCTTTCCATAGACCTATGGATTTGGCAGTGGTTGCGAGTCTGCACATGCAACACAACTGGCCAGGCTCGGCCAGAATAGCTCAGCAAAGCAGCTTGGATGGCAAGCCAGCACAGCAGGATGCAGCGAGAGGATGCAGGATGCAGCTTCCCACAGCAGTGCGGGAAGGTGGCAGCATGCAGGCAGCCGGCGCAGCACGGGGAGTCAGTGGCACAGTGCAATGCGGCCACGGCAACACGGGAAGCTGACAGCACGCAGGCAGCTGGCACAGCACAGGGAGTTGGCAGCAAAGCAGAGAGGGCAGCAGGGCACAGCCAGGCAGAGGGACGTGGCAGGGCAGGGCGGCACCACGCTGGATGCACAGCTCATACCTATCTGCATTTTTTAACCTGACCAGTCCACAGCTCAGATACCCCCTGTTGCAGGCCAGTGGCCCACATGCCACGGGAGGAACAGAAGGGGAGACATCTTCCATGCCCCAGCTGCAGGTGTCACACATACTCCTCCACCCACTCTCCCTCGCTTTCATCGGGTGGTGACTGGAGATTGCAGTCGTGCCCATTCCTAGTTCCAGTGATACAGGTGTCATCCCTCCTGTTCACTGATCTTTCCTCCTCTTGCCGTTGTCTTTCCGAACCAGGGCAGGATGTATCCCTCGCACAGGCTGTAGAGACACAGCCAGGAATGAATGGCCAGTTCGCTTCTGCAGGGGGGAGTTTGGTCAGGACCCTCACGGTTCCTTCCAGCCAAGCACACTTCACATCTCCTCCTGTGCAGGCCCCTCTCTGACCCGGACCTCTGTGATGCAACTCACAAGGGAGCAGACCAGTACTTGTGGAACGTGCTCTCCAGGAAGTTGGCCAGCTTCTCGCAGTCATCCTAGGAGACAGGAACAAGCACGGTTAGTTGGTTCTGCATGGGGGGCCTCCCCTGTTCTCCCCTACTCAGCATCTGACCAAGCCAAAAACTCATGTCTGCCATCTCACCAAGGCAGAGGGAGACTTTGCAAGCATGACTAGGGATGTATTATTGATGGTGTTGGTCATGGTAGTCCTTGGGGAAGAGCCAAGAACAGGGCCCCGTTGGCCAGGTGCTGCAAAACCGTGGTAGCAGCAGTCCCTGCCCCACAGAGCTCACAGCTGAGGCAGGGCCAGGTCAGACGTGTCTGCAGGGATGAGGGGTAACGTGAACAGGGCAAACAGCTCAATGGCAGAAACAACATGTTTGGTGCATGGCTTGGTGAAGGTTATGGGTGGGTTTACTCAGGACAGAATCACGCTGATGGATGGAAGAGGGAAGCGAAGGGAAGGGGGACCGAGTGGGGGACGACCCCAGAGGGTGGGTACAGAGTGGGGGAGAACCCCAGAGGGTGGGTATGGAGTGGAGCTGACAGGAAAGGACTGAAGGAGAAAGGGGAGGGCTGGAGCAGCTGCCTGGCACAGGCTGGACAAAGTCAGCTCAAAACTGCAGTTAGGGACAGGGACCCACGAGGGCCCGTGGGTCAGCCCAGCCCCTGCTGCTGCACTGCCCCATTTCAGTGCTTCTCTTGAAGGGGGGCAGAATGGCACGAGGTGTCCAGAGCAGTTCGCACCACAGCCATGCACAACAGAATTCATGCTTCCCTGCCTGCCGCTGCCATGGGGAGTTTTGTGTTTCTCGCAGCTGTAGCACTTGGGGGCCATAGTTACCCTCAGCTCAAGCAGCCCCTAGGTCTTTCCCCCCAGCTGTTTCCAATTTATGCTGTGCAGCTGGCAGCAGGAACTTGCCGCTGTTCCCTATGTCCTTGGCCTTGCGGTCTGTAGCATTACACTGCACCCCTGTCCCTCCCTTTGGTCCTCTGGGACCTCTTCCTGTGCAATATCCTGATCCTCCTCTGGCCTGTTGATGCCCCAAACCTGTGTCAGCAGCAAATGCTACGAGCCCATGCTGTACCTGGTGCCACAGACCTAGTGCTAGTCCTGCAGCTGGCAAGCAGGGGGCAGCGCCCAGTGCAGCCAATTTGGCCGCATTGCACAGTCATTGGGCAACATATGCAGGTGGCCCTGGGAGCCGGCACCACCCACCCCCCTTGCTGGGCTACGCAGTCCGGTCCCTTTGGACACTGGCACTCCTGTCGAGGCAGGTGGAACACCTCAGCCCTGCCTAACCCAGACCCAGGTGGCTTGGGCACCTCGGAGATGTGGGAGACGGGTGTGGGGGCCTCGCACCCAAATCTCCCACCCCCCAGGCCAGTGTCAGTGGGAGGCAGGAGGCTGCCTGGTCTCTCTGCCCATGTGACTCCTTGGCATTCAGGCCTCAGAGCCCAGCTGCACTTGGTGCCCCTGATGCTGTGCCCAGGTCAGAGCCATGTAAGGGGGAGTCTGCTGAAGCAGAGTCTCCAGCCCAAGCTTGCCCCCCTTCTCCAGCACTCAGAGCCCTGGGGTCAGGGATGTAGAGCAGGCACAGGACCTCGTGCTGCTATCCCGGCAGAGGGGGCATGGCCAAGGCCGTGAAGGCAGCTCACCTCATGGATGAACCCATAGTGCACCAGCTCCATGGCCAAATCCTTGGAATTATCAGCTGCAGAAAAAGGGATGAGGTGAGGCAAGAAAAAGTGACTTTCATGTCCCCCTCCCCTCCATCTGGGACATCTCATGCACCTCCCTGGGGCGCAGCACAGCTGGAAGCTTCTGCCAGAGCCACTGGCTTCGGGGCAGGTGCTGCCAAGTGGCCCTGGGACAGCCCGGCTGACCCCAGGGCAGGGAGAGCATCTGCAGGCGAGTGCTCACCTGAGCCCTGGGGGGAAAACGAACTTCATGCGATCCCGCCCCATGGGCAGAGTGGGGCAGACCCGGCAGACCGCCCTTGAAGAAACGGCCCATTTTTTAAAAATTTGTATCCAAGGCCAAATTAGCCCAAACTGATTCCAAATCCAAGAGTCCAGAACCATTACTGGCAAACATCCTCCACCTGTACCTGGGGCTTCAGATGTTTCCAAAACCTTTGGTGGGCATCCTACTTGCAGGCCCAAACCCAGAGGCTTGGGGTTTGGATGCCCCCGAGTTTTGCTTGCCCTTAGCCATGAGGCCCTCGGAGCAAGCAAGGGAGGAGACTCCCATTTCCATAAACTGGGCTTAAAACAGCTGCACGTCAGCGGGTGCTGAACCACGCCAAAAGAGCAGTGCTCCTGCGGTGTGCTTCAGGAAAACTGCCTTCATGGACAGAGATACGTGGTATTTTCCCTGCCAGATTGAGAAGTCACTACGCTTCATCTGAGCCTTCAAGAGGCTGAGAAATGTCCCGTTTGCTCCGGCTCAGCCTGAGGCACAGGCTGTGGACAAGCTCCCATCATGGGAGCCAAAGTGGGGCGTCTGGCTGTGGGTTTTGCCACCTCCCATAAGCATTCGTGCTGCAGAAGCACAGCTCACCACTCACTCACAGCCTCTTTCCTTTCAGCGTAGCTGCGGCCATGGTCTCAGGAGGGACCAGCAGCTTTGAGAGGAGTCACAGAGTCTGGGCCATGGTGACCCAGCTCCCTAGGGAGCCTACAGGCACCTGCTTTCCCTCCCCACTCACACTGTGTCCAGTGCCTGCCACCTGGGTGCTGGGATGCAGCCTGCCCTCTCCCACAGAGATGGAAGGAGGAGCAGCCTGGGAGCAGACCAAGAGCTCACTGGAGCACAGGCCATGTCCTTCCAGGACTGGGCAGGATCCAGCCCATGGGCCGCAGTCCCCCCTGCACCCCATCAAGGGAGGATGCTCACGAATGCACCTACTTGGCAGCAGGTCGTAGCTCAGATGCCGGTGCAGCTTGTCTTCCAGGACCAGTAGGAGCGTGAGCTGTGGGTGGGAGAGGGCGCGTGTTAGAGGACGGCGCAGGTGCTCGGGCCGTGCCGGCGGCTGGGGGTACACGAGCTGTGCCCTGTGGCAGGCTGAGCGTGAACATCAGAGTGGAACTGTTCCCCTCCTCGCCCACAGCTGAAATACAGCTGCTAAAATGGAGACAGGTGGGGTCAGAGAGACAGACACGTGCACATATGTGAAGCCCCGGCTGTGAGCCCCAGGATCGCCCTCTCCAGCGAGACCTCAGGGATAAAGGACCAGGCAGAGACACACCAAGGAGCCCCCGGAGAATGTCAGTTTGGCTGGGAAATGCCCTAGCACTGCCTGTCTGCAATGACAAGAGCACCTCAGACCTCGGTCAGGGCATGGACACGGCCCCCTCCTTCTGAGGGAGACTCCTCATGCCAATCTGTGCTGTCAGCACCCCCGAAATACCAGAACATGAACCAGCAACCCAGGAGCAGAGCCATTCCCTGCTGGGGCTGGGTGCGTGCAGGGCCTGAGCAGCGAGAGCAGGGAGCTTGGAGGTGGAGCGGACATGGGGAGCTGCTGCCTTGTTCACTCCCAGACAGCCTATGGCCGGAAGCTGGGCTGAGAGGCCACTGGGGAAAATCAGTGCTGGATTTATTCACGCTGAAGCAAAGCCAAGAGCAAATACCTCTGTCTGGGAAACACGCATCTGTGGGACTGTCTCCCCCACTGCCTCGGAGAGCCACTTGCCCACCAGATGGGAAGCTGCGTGTGCCACATTGCAGGGGTGGACTCCCTGGCACTGTATGTCTGCCCAGCACACAGCAGGATGGGCCCAAACCTGCTCAGGCCATGGGGTGCCACTGCTATAAGTCCTGTTGCAGCCTGGAGTGGGCAGCACAGAGCCGACGCTGCTCACTTACATGCCACTGACTCTTATCTTCATTCAGCTCCATGTTGCACTGCATCTGTACCACCTAGGAGACACCAAGGCCATGTCATCACAGTCCAGAACACACTCATCTCCCCTCCTTCCGCTTTGCCCGTCCCTGGCCACGCTGCATGACCGCGTTGCTCTGACAGACGCCCTACCACCCCAGCCACCCCATCCCCAGGCATACAAGGCCTGACTGAGTGGCTGTAGGTGCCCCAGAGCAGTCCCATTCCACCTGCTCATCCTGACAATCCACAACTGCAGCCACGTCTGTACCACGGCGACATCTGACCCTTAAGACTGGGCTCCACTGAGCGGCAAGTCTGGTGCCCTGTCTCAGCCGTGCCTGTCACCAGCTGGTTTAGAGGCAGGAGCAGGAGGGAGTTGTGTTATAAGGCTTTTCTAACATGATCCTGGACCTCAAGCTACACCCCTATGAAGCAGGAGCATCAGCAGTCTAGAGACCTCTGAATGCAGTTCACTTGGGACACGTCAGCGACAGCATTCCCCCCGCCCCCGCCCCTGATACCTTTAACTTCCCTTACCAATTTTCTACATTGCAGAAGTTCTGCCTTATCTCGACTGGCATCTCTTCCTCCATTCCTTCCTTTTAAAGCAGTCCCGATTTTGGCTGGGACACATCTTGGAATACCACCACTATTCCAGATGACTGGAAGAGCGATAACGTTGCACCAAGATTCAGAAAGGATAAGCAGGACATCCTGGGCATTTATACACCAGTGAAGCAGGTGAGACATTGGAAAAGCTCCTACAAGACTACGTGGCCATAACGTAGAATTCAAATAGCAGGAACGCAATGACTAACCAGTTAAAGCAGGTGGCTCTTTGGAAATGGGTCTTGCCAAAGACATCTCCTGCCACCCTTCAACAAGATGCTTGTTTGGCTGACAAAGGCACCCGGGCAGATCGGGGCTGTCCAGCTGGTCCATGAGGGGTTAGTTTGAGACTCCTGGCTCCCTCCCAGTGTGGCTCCCCCCATCGTTCTGGCTGCAGCTGCAACAGCTGGAGGCTCTTGGCTCCCCCTCCCTCTAGCTTCTGCTTCCTGCCCAGCCACAGGGGGTGGGTGGAGGGGCATGACGCAGCCCACGGTGCTGGGGGAGCTCATGGCCCCCTCATGGCAGCTGAGGGTGGACCTGGGGCACCTGCACTCGTGCACCCACGTGCATGGTGCCACGGGGGTAGGGAGCACCGGCATGCTCAGTGCAGCAGGGGAGTGCCTGGGGGACTTGCAGCCCACGCTGGTGTGGACCCATCGACACAGCCCCCATCCACTAAGAAGCTGGACAGCCCTCCTGGAAATAAAGGTACTTAGACCTCATGTCAGACTTGATATCACAGGATAGTCCCAGTACAAATGAGCTGCATAGACTACTGATACAGCACAAGTCAAATGCATTAAGACCTGGCTACGTGCCGGGGCTCCATAAGCAGCTGCCAGCAGGGAATCATCCCTGCAAGGCAGTGTTTTTGGGGGGTTCTGCAGGGCCAGGTGCTGGGCCCGTCATGGCTCCACATTGCTCAGATTCAGCAGGATTCAGATAATGCCTGCAAGGATGCTGGGAGGGAGGAGGAGGACAGGGCAGTGGTACAGAGAAACCAGAATCTCTTGGTAAGATGAGTCCTCCCCAAAAGCAAGATTAGGGGCCTGGGAACCAGCTGTTCCAGCTGGACTCCAGAGCAGAGGGCAGCCTCCTGCAGAGCCAGGGCTGAGAGGAGCTAGGGGTCACACTGGACATGCAGCTCAACACAAGCTCTGCACTCCTACGATTATTTGCACGGCAGCAGCAAGCAGGAAGAGGAAGGTTGTCTTATCTACTTGTGACATTGTTAAAAAGTAGGAGGCAGGCAAAAGAGAGCCACAGAAATGGTCTGAGGGCTGGGGAAGACACCCCTGAGAGAGAGCGAGGCCAGAGCATTGGTGCTGCAATGGTCCAGAAAATGTGGAAGAAATAAGGGTTTTTTTGTTGGTATCTTTTCTTGGACCAACACAGAGTTGGGAGAGACATCAGACAAGCTTTGGGCACAAGGTGCCCTTCTCCAAGTCACTTGCTTTCAAAAGAGGGATGGAAAAAGCCGAGTCTCTAGGTTATCATCCGGAAGGAGGGGGGGCCATTGGATTATAGCACAGAAGCACCTTCGTGGACAGGAAGCACCGGGTACGGAAGGGTTTTGGAACCAGGAGAGAGCGGAGAAATGGAAACCAGTGACCAGAAGCAGGATCCAGACCAATTCAAGCGGAGGATGGCATGATTTTTCCCATGGGGTAGCCACTGCTCATAGCACAGCACAGTGGGGCTGGAAAGGACCCCAGAGGTCACTGCTACTGCAGTCCCCAGCCCGGGGCAGGGCCGCCCCTATCCGAACCATCCCAGACAGGCCCTGGTCCAACCTGTTGCTAAAGCCGTGCAGGGCAGGGAGGCCAGTTGTGCAGCAACAAGGGGAAGCAGGGGACAATGGCGGTCAGTGACCTGCTGCAGCGAGGGCTGTTAGATGCGCTGGAGAGACCCAAGGACCAAGCCCCAAGGTGACGAGGGGTCAGACGCCTAGCAGTCCCTTGTGGCACTAACTCCAGTGACTCCGAGAAACAAGTGGTGAGGGTCTGTGACTCTGCACCGCCAGGCGCCCTCCACCCACCCACCACGACTGTCCCCACACTCTGGTTCTATCGCCTGGGCTGGGCTGTCTCTGGCCCTCTGTGCACACCCAGCGCCAAGGGGCCTGAGCGCGGCAGTGGTCTTGGGACGTTGCCATAGCATCGGAGCCAAGTGAGGATCAGAGCCGCCCTGCAGCCCTTCCAGCATGAGCTGCACCCCAGCCTCAAGGTGCAACAGACTCCGGGCCCCAGCACTGCCCACAGACCTGCTGGGAAACGAGCCGGAGCCATGGAGCCAGAACCAGGCTGGCTGCTCTGGGTCTGGGCTGAGGACGGGCTGCCTCCACCCTGTCCCAAGGGGAGCCCCAAGAGGCCAGGGGGAGAGCAGTCGGTCCCCAGGGCAAGGGCATGAGGGTGCCCCCACCCCCAGCAGCAGCAAGGGCTGCTGCCCCGTCCTCACCTTCCTCGTCTCCACATCGAAGGGCTCAGGGGTAGGAGTCTTGGTTTTCTGGGGGTCCTCCTGGGGTTGGGACAGTGCCCGCGGGAGCGCCAGGGGTCTTGTCACAGCGAAGTTCATCAGGGGATAGATCCCGTTCCTGACACAGATGCAAACAGGTGAGGAGGGGCCGACGCCAGCCCAGGCAGGGCAGTTGGGCCAGGGTCAGGGCTGGGGCAGTCCCTCTGCTCCCTGGACACCTCTGACTGCAGCCTGGGGCCAGAGCTCCACCAAGGGCAAGGCAGCAACTCAGGAAAGGTGCAGGGGCAGATCGGGAACTGGCTCAGAGCCCAGAGACACCCGCGGCCCCCACTCTCACCTGACATCCTCCAGGAACTTGTCGAGCTCCAGGAAGGAGACCTCCGAGTACCTGAGGGAGCAGGAAGGGGCCGTCATGGGGCTAGCACAGCACAGAGCAAGGATGACGGGGCCAGGAGGTTGGGACCAGCCAGCTCCCTGAGTGGGTGATGGGGGCTCCTAGTCCCTGTCCACCCCACACCCCCCGGGATGCCCCCTCCCCAGCTCTCACCTCCACTGCACCGAGGGCTGCCCCTCGCGTCGGATCTCCGCCATCACCATGTTCAGATCCAGCTCCTTTGTCTTCTCCTCCACCACGTTCTCCGGCATCAGGTCTACAGCAAGGCCAAGGGAGCGGCACTGAGCTGGGAGCTCCGGCAGGACGGGGGGCCCAGTGCCTGGCCCTCACCCCTGCTCTGGAGCAGACTGTGCCCACTTGCCCCTGCCGTGGCCCCACCACTCACACTGGTTGTTGATGAAGCAGTGCGCAGCCAGCAGCTTGAGGGAATGGACCTCAAAGAGCACCCGGTGGAAGAGCAGGTTGTGGGCTGTTGGCCGCTTGTCCGGATTGAAGGTCAGGCACGACAGGATGAACTCCTGGCAGGGGGAGGCAGGGGCATGAGGCGCAAAGGACCATCTTCTGGCATCCCTTGTCCCCACAGGCCTGGTCCCCAGGACCTGCTGCTCCCAAGACGCCTTCCCCTGCCACAGCCCCATGGCCAGCACTGTCTCCTCCCCAGCCGCTGCCTCCCCACAGCAGCACGGCGGGCCCATGCATGGCAGCTCCGTTCCAACAGCAGCATCCCCGGGACATGCAACGTGCGCAGCCGGTGACGCCTGCCAGCATCCCCAGGGGAGCACGTGTGTGGGGATGGCCTGGCTTCCTACTCCAAGACTCCCTGCGTGCATCCCGACGAGGCAGCGAGAGCCTGCGGGGACGAGGGTGCTGCGGCGGGTCTGCCTGACACTCCCTGGGCGGGTCTGTACGCAGTCCAGCCTGGGAGCTGGTGGTGGAGCTGGGAGAGCCCAGCACTGGCCAGAGACATGCCGGGTCCTGCTCCTGTCTGCTTCTCGGTGGTGGCAGAGGCAGGCCCAGAGGCCACGCTCCAGGCACCATGCACTGGGCCCTGCTGCCAGTCTCAGGTCCTACCCCCACCAACTCTGGAGCAGGCAGAGACCTGACCTGCCCCCAACGCCTCGCAGACCAGCAGCCCCTGCATGCCCCCGACTGGCTGCTGGTGGGATCTTGCATGGCGGAAGGCCCCAGGGACAGGCTGGGGCAGCCATGGGACCCCAGTGACAGGCTGAGCCCTGGAGCTGCCTGGCCGGGCTTGGAGCTCTGCTCACCCGCATGTTGGGATCGTCCAGGGAGTGCCTGGCCTGAGTGATCGCCTCCTCCGAGACCCGGGCATCCCCGTTGCTCTGGATCTCCAGCACGGCCATCTAGGGGAGAGCAGAGCTCAGCTGTGTCCCTGCTGCCCCCCAGCCCCGCTCCCTGGGATGGGCTGGGGCCCACATGCTCTCAGGGCTCCCACTGCCATCCTCCCCCCACTGCACGAGGGCATCATGCCCGGGTGGCCATGACCATCTCACCCCCCGTCTCCTGGGTCCCCAGGCTCTGCGCAACACACCTCTCTGCTCAGCTCTGGTCTCCCCCTGGACCGCAGAGGACAGTGGGAAGCCCTGGGGCAGCAGCTGCCCCCATGGCTGCAGGGCAGATGGCCCATGCCTTGCAGGCGGAGGGTGCAGGAGCAGCCGTGCCTGCCTGTGGGGCTGGATGGGCCTTCACGGGAGAGCAGCCTCAGGATGGCACGGGGCAGGGGCAGGCTTCCCACGCTGTCCTGGCAGGGGCCGTGCTCTGCCTGGAGCTTCCCCATCGCAGCAAGGGGCGACAGGGAACGGCGCCCGTAGGGGTGTAGGCCCCGGGTCCCCACAGGTTCGGGAGACAGGGAAGGGCAGGGGGGCACCTTGGTCTGCGGTAGGGTCCTCTTGCTCCCTACCTCCAGGGCACACATCCCAAAGGAGAAAATGTCCACAGCCGTCCCGTCGGCCTCTCCTGCAACCAAACCGCACCACAGGGCTCCAGGCCACTGCCGGCTCCCCTGCTCCGTGCTGCCCCCTGCCCCTTCCTCCCCTGCGGACCTGCCCCATGTTCTATCCCGCAGCCCCCAGACCCATGTCCACCCCCCGCAGGACTTGAACTCACGGCCATACTCCGGGGGGAAGAAGTGCATGTTGCGCTGCTCCTCTCTCTCGGTGCGGATGGGGCTGCGGAGGTGGTCGGGGAGGGCTGTGGGCGGGCACGGGCTCAGCGAGTCTCA